GCTTTAGTTCATATCAAGCTCAGTTCAGCGGATTCAAGCCTGCAAATATACAATAAAAGATGTTAGACTTCTGGGACTTGTAGCATGAAACATCAAGAATCAATGCACCAATATTCAGCCTTTTCTTGTATGAGTAACATGTTATCTTTCGAAGTCTCATCCATTAGGAAAGGCATATTTAATTGAAGCTACAATCTAACCATCTCAATAACCTACCATCAAGACCATTCACATCGTAGGTTTATATATCAATGAAATACTAACAGAAGCATCACGACCATCAAAATAGTGCCAACATAGTACCCAGTAAATTCAAAACCTTAAATTCAAGGGTTAAGGTTAAGGATAAGGATCCAAACTCTGTAATGGCTAGCACTTTTTCCAACTGAATGAATTAGTGGGCAAACTAAAGGAAAAATTAGGCGAAACAGAACTGTGAAAGTACTTATTGATCAAAGGACCTAAGGTTAAATGGTTATGAAAGAATTTTATCTTTTATCTTTTATCATCCAAAATATTTGACCACTTAAAGAATTAAATTAGCATTAATTTTTCGCGTCAGTGCTGTATTCCTTACCATAGGATAAATTTCAATGAAAGACAGCAAAATCAATACATGAGGGTAAAATAGTGTGTCAGATTTAACTTTCCTTGTGCATATCATAAACTCCCAAACAAAGAGGTGGAACTGCAGAAAAGGAATCAATTAACATACATGCTGCTTTTTCTTCTTTGGCCTCCTCTTTCGTCGGGGTTTGCGAGCATCAGAACTGGAGCTTATATTACTACTTGGAACTGTTTTGGAATTTGAGGATCCTCCTAATTTAAAGGATAAGCTGCTGCTGCTATTTGATGTGTTGCTGGATGTGGACATTTCAGCGCTCCTCATTGATGAATTTTTTCTGGATGATGATGCAACTCTTGATTGAGTGTTTGCTGAACTTGGAGGGTAATTAGTTGATGGCCTGGGAGGTGGCATTAATGCTCTGGCAGAAATCTGTCTCTGTAAAGATGGTAAGTTGGGGTGAGAAAGGTAACAGAAAAATGTCAAAAGTTAAATTGTTAGCTATTTTGTTAGAGAAGTAAATACTCAAATTAGACCTCAAACCTGATTCCTTTCATCACTAGACATGCCAGATGCTGCTATACCAGATGCACTAGAAGCCTGCTCCCTGCATACCAATACCAGATGTTCAGATGTATATCTTGTTAGGTTACATCAGAGCAGGGCTGACAGCTTTCAATAAGTCAACAAACATCATGAGTATGCACATCCGTGCATCATCATGTCTACTTTTATTTGTCTGCCTGTCTGTACAATTTACTCCAGTTCTAAATGCGGCTGACAAAATAGGGAAAACAAATCTGATGTCTAGATCTGAATTTTCTATTAAATAAGGAAATCTAATATCTTCTAATAAATGGAACACCTTGCACTTTTGTCTGTCCATTCATCATCTGCATCTGCTTCATCACTTGAGCTTCCAGACAAAAAGAAATCGTCATCGCTCATATCCAACAGCCCATCATCCTCACTTCCTGTCTCTGTTAAGGAAATTCCAAAGAGAAGACTTCATCTTTGTCCACATATCAGTTTATATAACAAAGCATACTTTAGCAGGTGCAGGCATAAGGCAGAATTCATAAAAAGAACTAGGTAGTAGCATCCTTGTCCTGATGCCTGGAAACAAATATTTATAAAATCCATGGCATTGTGCAAAATATAACCTTGCAGCAGCATTCATTAGCTGGATTAAAAAGAAGAAGTTTCAAAATGAAATGCCCACTTGCATTCTAATATGCACAAGGATCTTGTCATAAAAATGGCTATATTTCATTTTTGGAATTGAAATAGATGTACTTCTCAGAATATAGAACAGTGCACTAGAAGCAGGGCAATCTGCCACAAGAAACCAAAAAGTCAATGTTCATAAACAAAAGCCAGATTTTCTTAAACATCAGGAGAGGCAACTGCAGAAACAAGACTCTAGTTATTGTTCTAATCAACATGCAGCCACATTATATGCAGTTTGAATAACCATTTCATCCGGGGTAAAACAATCATAAGTTGACAACAGGAAAGCAAAATTACCAATTGAGCTCAGAAGCAGGCATGCTGTATGGCTTTACCTATACCTACAACCTTTTTAAATAGATTTCATTATTTAATACTTCATTTTGAGTCGCTCACTCCTATAAATCTTTTATACACCTTTATGGCTAAAGTATATGTGTTCTACCTAAAGTTATTCTCAAACACACATTTGGTATTATTTTTGACTCTGGAATCTTGGGAGAACATGTCCAATTAATCAGTATTGAGATAAGGCAAATATTGAGCCAGCTCATCAATGAAATAAACAAATCCATGTAGCCCCATATTTGCAGGCAAAACGGAGGAGAAATGTACCTTCCAAATCCTTTCCACTGGCAGCAGCAGCAATTAAGTTGGCTTTTATCTGCTTGCGTAACCTATTTCTTCGATCAACCATGTCTGAATCATCACCTCCCGTAAATAAAGATACATATTTCTCAGTCTTGGGGAAAAACTGCATATAAATAAAAAGCAAACTTTAGCTGTGCATACTTTGTCCCCTTTTACCTAAAATTATGCATCAGAAAGCAAGTTGATGAGAGAGAATATGCTGACAGCTGAGTAAGCTGACAGCACTTCCCCAATAAAACACAGGTCAAGAATCAGTCAACTTTGGCAAGGGTCTAAATTAAGATTGGATCACCAAAGAATTGTAATGTAAACCATAAATTATGCTGCAGAGCAAAGGAGTTCCCATGTAGCTGCAGCAGAGATAATTTATTTCTAGGATTAAAGCAGGTCATCTTATACAGATTCACAGTCATCCAAATACACCAAGTATACAATATGCTACAAGTCTTACCCTAACATATTCAAGATCTTCTTTCAATTTTGAAAGCTGCTCTGCAATCTGTGCATCTTGGGCCTGACCAGATGAAGCACGTTGTAGTTTCTCCAGACGTCTTATTCTCCTTTCTATCTTTCTCCTTTCTGAACGAAGCAAGTTTATAGAATAAGGATCACAATGCAAATTAAATGCACATCATCCCTAACATTTGACATACGCACTAAATATAACAAAGAAAGACAATTTCCTTTTACCAAAAAACTTAATCTTTCTATCCCGCAAAAAGATTTTACGTTCCACAGCCAGACGGGTATGAATTTCTTGCTGCTTCTTGAGCCCTTCTAACTTCTTCTCTTGAGCTTCTCGAACTTCAGGTGGAAGATCCTTGAAACAATCACAAGACAAATTTATTAAACAACCATTGAATACATCCCTAAAACAAGGTTATACTAGAACAACAGGAATCAAAATATCCACGCAAAAGCATCATAACTCCCTAAGATAACAACACATCACTTGGAGAATTCAAAACCAGAAGCAGAAGCAGGAAGTGCACAACCACATCGTTCAACAGTTCAACCTCATCAATTTATCACTACAAATTCTCCTCTAAACCAAGTTTTGCTGGCTGATAGTTTCATTGGTCGGTAATTACAGAGAAACCAAAATAGCCAAAGTGGTTCCGGCAGCTTCGATTCCATCGCCACAAAAAAGATTGGAAGAAAACCTAAATCCAGAAAACGGAAAGGAATAACATCGAGGAGAGGAATAAGCAAATAACTGCAATACCTTGCGAAGCATGCGCTCAATGGAGCGAATTTGGTTCTTGAGAGACACGGCCTTTGGCTTAGGCTTCTTATCTACGCCGGGTCCCTTTGATCGGCGACCAACGCGATTGCCCTCAGCCACGCGGCGCTTGCCGTAGCCACCGTGTGCCATGGTTTCAACAGTCGGGCCACCCTCCTAGCACCGCCTTCCTTTTATCGTTGTCAATTTGTTATGCTTAGGCCTTTTTAGTTTCTTTCCTTAAAAAATAAAAAATAAAAAGAAAAGCGAAATAAAAAGAAAAGAGTGACGCTTTGCGTTTTTTTCTTTCATAATTAAAAAGAATTGTAAATTTTTTTTAAATCTTGATTGCATAGGAGTTAATCGCTTTTTATTTCTTATTTTACCTCATTTATATTTTATATGATTTAATTTATAATATTTTATTTTTAATTAAAAAAATTATTATTGAATTATTATATTGTTGATAAAAATTTATAACTTAAAATGTAAAATATTAATTATTAAATTAAAAATAACTCTTACAAAGTTTTTAAATTGGGGGATTTCGAGG